AATGTTGAGTTCTTTTCTTGTTGTGGGGGAATCCAGATTTTTTTGGATATACAACGTGCCTTCGATCAACTTCCCAGGCAAGCCCTTTTCGAGCACCTGGACACACTGCACGACCAATCTGAGCTAACAACACTGATGGCTCACTGGCATTCCCAAACGGATTACTGCATTGAACATTCAGGTGAGACTGCCCTTGTTTCTACAGGATGTGGCGTGCGTCAAGGTTGTCGTGCCGCTCCACTGTTATGGAACAGCTTTTTGGATCAGATGTTTCGCACTCTTGCCCAACAAATCTCTCCTGAGTGGGTCAAACAGACGCTGACAGCATTTGCAGACGACATCCATCAAGGCACAGTTTTTCGATCCAGCCAACAACTGCAGCTTGAAATGACAAGGATTGGACTGCTTCTTGACACGTTGGAAAATATGGGCCTGACCCTATCCCTTGAAAAGTCCTGCATCCTGCTGGAGATTGCCGGCTCCCACTGCCGTAAGATTCGAAATAGGCTTTTGAAATATGAGGGTTCACATGCCTTTATTGACATCCCCCGTGCCAATGGACGCACCAGCCGCATCCCGGTGAAAAGGACTGCTGACTACCTGGGGACCTGTCTCAGTTATGGCAACTATGAACAGCAGACATTTGACAAAAGGGTTCACTGTGCACGCCTCACCTTTCACAGATTGCGTCGATGGCTTTGCACTTCCCAAATTGCTTTGCGTCACCGCCTGTTGCTTTGGAAAGCCTGTGTCCTGTCCACACTCATGTATGGCATTGTTGCAACTGATTTGACTTTCCCTATAATCAAACAATTCCAACAAATCATACTTGGCATGTATCGCAAGCTCACCAGAAATCACAGCTACCGCACGCATGAGACTCACAACACGGTACTGCACAGATACCATTTGGACCACCCGATCCAGCTGCTGCAGCGCCATGTCCAGCAGCTCCAGACCCTCCACAGTCAGCGTGCCCAGCTGATTGGTGATACTGATATCCTAAGGATGTCCAAATGGCACACACTGCCGCAAACCTTGCAAATGCTTTCTGTTGCTCTTGAGGTGCAGACCAATGTATCCCCTGCTGACGACAGCCTGCTTGAGGTGCCCATCACGCTTGCATACGCATGTCCATCATGTTCATTTGTTGCCAGTAGCCTGCCCAACTTGCGTCGACATCAGACCACGGTGCATGGACAACCGCACTTCAGAACATGCCTGGGTCACACAATGTCCTGTTCAGTAGGAGGGTTACCACAATGTGCTTTTTGCTTCCAATCCTTTACCACATGGCGACAGTTTCAAAACCACTTAGATCGACAATGCTGCCAGGTCAGATCTTGTGACAAGAACATGAACCTTGATGCCTTGCTGCGTGAAGAGGAGGAACAGCGCATTTTGCGCATGCACCAGAGCCTCACCGCCGCACTGCACACAAAGCCTTATGGGGATGCCCTGCTCCAGCTGGTGACCAATCATGACTGGAATGGTCTAGCTGACTTGCGGCCAGCTTGTGAGGCGCTCTCAACGCAGTGCTGTGTATGTGATTTTCACTTCAGCCGACCGCAGGACCTCAATAGCCACTTGCGTGTGCACCATCATAAATGGATTAGCCATACGTTCACCAAGGCATCTCAGATATGCAGAGGGTTTGCAAGCAACTTCCCTTGCCGTTACTGCACAAAGAACTTCCGACATGCTCATGCTTGCCCTGTACTTACACATGCTGCCATGTTGTACCTGTATTTGCCTTCTGAAACAGGTCCACCGGAAGTGCCACCAGCCGCTGCCCTGCGTTGCGAGGTTTGTGGACTCAGAGCTGAACACATTGATGATTTGCACAAACATTTGGCTTCAGTACACAGGTTAGCTTTTAATGATTGGCAGCCTGAACGGGACCTCATGGGCAAGGATCCAGCTTGCTCTCACTGTTCCAAGTGTTTCACCAATGTTTCAGCAGTCAGGCAGCATGTGACGCTGGGGCAATGCAGTGAGTTCGACCCTCATCGCTCACCTTTTCTCCTGCCCATAGCCGAGATTTGGACCACAGCCTTGGCGACAGGGGACTTGCAACCAGTTTTGTCTGATCCGATGCTCAGGATGCGCATGACGCTGCACTGTGCCCAATGTGGGGCTGCCTACATGCGATCTGGAGATCTGATTCTCCATCTGCAGACGGCTCACTCAGCCATGTGGGGCCAGGCGCAAGCCCTCACCAGATATCTGATGAAGACATTGATGCCACAACACTCTTGTGTGTGCAATCCCAGTGTTCATAAGGTCACTTTGACCCATGTTTGCCCTTTCTACCGTCAGATGGCTATGCTTGCGGGACGCTCTGCGGTACCCCTGTTCCTGCCGTGGCAATCAGATAGGGAGAGCCTTGCCCTGAGCTTGCACCACAGTCAAACGCATGCAGTTATGGATCGCCTGGTTAAATGCATTCATACAAGACAGCTACGACAGCTCTTGCAAGACAATGCACTTCAGGCCTTTCTCCGGGAACATTGTGTGATATGTGGTGGTATTTTTCACCCTGCCCTGCTGCGCGACCACATCCTGCAAGTCCACTCCTCAAATTTGGACAGAGTCGTTGATCTACTGCCTCTTTTATTTGATGAGTTTCAGAGGGCTTCTCATACGGACTATCAATGCGCACAATGTCATCAGATATTCAACCTGCCAATGCTTGGAGCTTCCAATTTAGCTGAGCAACAATCACGGCAGACACTGGTTCTAGCCCACTTTCAACAGTGCCCCGTCGTTCACCAAGTGAGCCTGCTGCTGACCCATGGACTCTGCCGAGACTCCGTCCATGCCAGGCAGGGAGACGCAGGAGCTTCTGGAAACATTTGCGGCAATGGCCCCACTGCTGTCGAAGGCCACACAGAAGGCAAAAGGAGACGAACGGGATTCCAAGAAGGCCAAAATTCAGCACAAGCCGACAGAAGAGGCTCAACGTCTGGACCTCCAACCAGTGGTCTTGCAGATGGCCAAATTGCTCATCCGGATGGACGCCGATCAGAATCTTCTGAGAAAACAAGACTCCTTCGTCTTTTACATGCAAATGGAGGAGGAATCGGTGATCCACATACTGAGCAAGCAGGCCAAGCAGTGGCACCAAGAGATGACCCAGCAGGAAGGCCAGATGAAAACACAGGAGTGGAAGCCATTGAGAGCGACGCTGATGCAGACGATGGCCGAGACCCTCCAGATGCGCCTCCACAAACTGTACTCCTGCAAGCAGTCGGATCCACTGTTTCAGACAGCAATGCACCACAATCTGGTGAACGACAAGGGAGAGTTCTTCTTCCAGAAATGGGATGCCTCCAGCCAGAAATTGGTGCAAACCAGCCAAGCACCAGTGGGCATGGACAGGATGAAACGCTACGTGGATCAGCTGGTGGAGACCCTTCAGGACCCGGCCAATGTGGTGAAATTCCACGCCTTGAAGGCGTCAGGGGATCAGAGGGTCACTCCTTGGATTCTCCAAGTGGCTCTTCGTTGCGACGAACTTCAGACTCTTTTGGAACAGCTGATGGGATGCAAGGTATGGAACCTCTTGGGGGCCACCCTCAAGGCCCATTCTCTTCCGCAGAGCAGCCAGGCGGAACACCTGAAGTCCCTGATCGGCAAAGGGAAGAGCGCTGGGAAGGGCAAAGCTCATCGCCGATGATGCCGATGTCAGATGAACACAGACATGCACTGCTGCTTGCAATTGGCACCCTGGCACTTCTCAATGCCGGGAACCCCTTTGGGCTGTGGTGAGCCGGACCAATTTTCGACTTGCTGACCTGGGGCCACATGCCACCCTGATTGCAGATAGTTTGTTGACGCGCCATGGACACCCCATGCAATTGGTCACCCAACCATGGTTTGCAGATGTCATCCAAAACTGGCATAATCATAACAATCAGGGTGATCCAGTGGAGTTCATGACACATGTGCTGGGGAGACTGCAACTTGGTGGCTTCAACATGAAGTGGGAACGCCGGGTGCAGATACACGATGTTGTCCGTCTCATGGACCAAAGTGACGCTGTGCGACCGCTGACAGTTCAGTTTGATGCAGTTGATTCTAATGCAATTCAACATGGTTACACTGCACTTCAGACAATGCTGGATTCATGGGCGGGACAGTATGGCATGCAGACTGCATTGGTTGCTCCCTCCCCACTTGTGTGCATTCATGTTGATCGTTTCATACACCAAGGCACCACGGCTGTGACGAAATGTGAGAGGCCTATTCATTTTCGAGGAAGCCTCAATATCCCAGTCTTTGACAATGAGGGTTTGCAGGTCCATCAGAAAGGGTATCAAATGATCTCAGCAGTTGCGCACCTAGGCACAGATGGATCAGGACACTGCCGCGGCATCCTGAAGACGTGGCCTTTGCTTGCCCCTGAACCTGTCAATTTCCTTCTTACAGATGATGGCAGGTCTCCTGAATGCATATGGACAGAACCCTCCTGGTTCACCCGCAATGTGTCCTGCTTCTGGTATTGCGACTGCGACTGCCTTGATTTGATCAAATGGCCCATGCCAGACCCAGCTCATGCAAATGATTCCGATACCTCGTCCATGACAGAGGATGCTCAGGATGATGTGCCCTTGCAGAAGCTTTTCAAAGCCATGTCCAAAACCTGATTGCCAAGCCGCCCATATGTGACACCTGATGGCATTTTGCCCGTTTTTATATTTGTTGCTGCTGCTCTGCCACGTTTCACTCCCTTAAGCCCTCACGACCGGTGAGTGACCCCCAGCATAAGCATTTAAAAAAAAAATGGGGGAGGCTGGTCCAAGAGGCAAATGCCCAACGTATCACGAAGGCCAGGGTTAAAAAAAAAAGTGCTGGTCCAAGAGGCAATGACCCAACGTTTCAAGAAGGCCAGGGTAAAAAAAAAAGAAAAAAAAAGCATGACTCTCCGAGCATGAATTCAATTGCACGTCTTTGTAGCTGTGGCAGAGCAGCGTCTCACTGCAGTCATCCTGTCATTTCGATGACTTTTTCCTTGGAAGTTTTTGTCCATAGTGGACCGCTTCCATTTGGCGTTTTTCACCAAGACCTCCATGCTGGAGGCCAACATGCTTCTATCATGTTGAGGCGCGCACGGAGCTTTTCCCAGAAAAGGAGTGTTGGAAAAAAAACACACACACAAACAAGCCCCTTTGCAGTCGCGAGTACTGCACGCAAGTCAGTTCAGTCTGACTAGGTGAAGCCTGGTAAAATCCTGGCCTGCAGCCATTGCCCCACGTCGCTCATTGGTACTTGTTCGCTGACACGGCGTGCAAACTCCCTGCCGGAGTGTGGTGGCTGGTTGCACTGGCCCTGCTTCCAGTGCGTTGCTGTGGCCTAGCATTGCTGCTGCGCCTGGTTGCACTACGTCCTCCTCCCATTGTGCTGTTCTACCTGCACCCTTTTGACTTTGACCTGACGATCGGGCTTAGCACTTTGGATCAGGGGTGGGCTCCCTTCTTTGGATTTTTCACTGGCCCTGTTGCTCATTGGATTTTTCTCTGGTTGAATATATTCTATTTGAGTGAGTGGATCACTCCTGCTGGCCAACGCGCCCTTGAGTGGGTCCTCTCCTGGCTACAATATTCTTCATCCAGCGGACCTTTGATGCCATCCAGGTTTTTCAGGCATTCCAATCAGATTTCGATCTCTGACTCAGTACTTGCAGCTGCACCTCGGTCCCAAGTCCGAGCATCGTGTATGACCATTTTGCTGTTGGTTCTTTTTGCTTTGACATTGACAATAGATCACGATTGTATCAACACGATGTGGGGTGAGGGTTATACCACATCCATGGGTGGTATGAGAGCAGAGGGTTCTTTTGCCTCTGCGAAACTACATGGAATGGAGCCAAAAGCGGTCTCCGGACCAAACTATGCCAAACCCACTGCCAAAAGAAGCTTTCGCAGGGCTCAGCGACGTGCAGAGCTACATGGGTATACATGGTACCGAGGGAAGTTGTTCACCAATCCAATGACCTCTACATGTTCATCTCAACCGCAGATCTCTCAGGCATCTCCTGGAACTCAACTGGATCCACCGAAAAGAGTGATGCGCAAGCGTCTTCTTGCGATGACCTGGAATGCTGGAGGCCTGGCACCAGCCACATGGGACATGTTTCAACAATGGCTGGATGGACAAAATATTGACTTCATTGCAATTCAAGAAACCCATTGGCCGTTTACATCAGAATGGTCACAAACACGATATCACTGCATTCACAGCGGACTCTCAGGCAAACAAGGTGGTGTTCTATGCATGCTCTCAAAGAGATTTTGTCAGGCCCATCAGATCTCCTGGGATGAAGTTGACAGGGGACGCATTTTGCATATCAGAGTTCACGGACAAACAAGAGGACATGATTTTGTGAACTTATATCAGCATGTTTATTCAACCAACAATCTTGACCACCGTCAACGACTTTTGGATAAACTCAACGATGTACTCACACGCATTCCTCAACGCAATTTGGTAACTTTGCTTGGTGACTTCAACACTTCCATGCGACACAGATCCAACGTCGTCGGAGTGGGCACCTTCCATCACGAGGGCATCAATCGCACAGGCACAATACATGATGACGCACATGAACTACATGATTTGCTGCGACAACACTCCTTGTTGGCTTTGAATACCTGGTCACATTGCAATCCTGCCACATTTGTACATGATTCCGTTGCCTCCAGGCTGGACTACATCTGTTGCAAACGTGTACATGCTGATCAGACATCCAAGGAGGTCAAAGCATTACCAGAGTTCTTCATGCGCAGTGCCACAGGGGCACACCATTTGCCACTGCTGACATCCCTCATCAGGACATGGATTCCCACAACCAAGACCGGCACCACTGCGTGGAGTCATCGACAGAGGCTGGAACTCTATACACGTTGGAAACACCAAGATCAACCAATACTATCACTACAACAACAAGTCCGATCAGATGTTGCCAACCTTTCAGATGATTTGGATCCGTTGCAGTCACTCCACAAGGCTATGAACAACATCTCACCTATGGATTTCAATGCCAAACTTCCTGAACCTGTTTATCAATTTGATCTCACACCTTTTCAGGCCTTCAAGTATCATGAACAACAACTTCGACAACTTGCTGGTGATTCTCAACTTCGAACATGCATACAGGCTTGGTTTCATGTTTGCAAGCGCCAACGTGCACGAACCTTGATGAATGCCACTTCCAAAACTGCCAGACGAGCCAAATTGCAGCGTGTGTTTGAACAGGCATCAGAAGCTGAACGTGCTCATGATCATTTTCGACTTTACCAGGCGGTGAGAACACTTGCTCCAAAACAAAGCAATCATCGCATTCAGCTTCGGAATTCTGATGGCACACTTGCTACTCCTTCTCAGGAAGCTGACATGCTTCAACGATGTCTTCAAGATCTTTATCATGCTGACAAGGAGGTTCACTCACCGACATCATTTCAATGGCCATTTACAACGACAGACATGATGAATGGTTTTTTGAAATTGCCATTGATGAAATCACTTGCACCATCATATGCACCTGCACCAGTATGGCATATGGCTGCACCTGAGATTGCAGACTTTCTGCACCCTCACCTCACATATCTCAGTGCTGTGGGCCGCTTGCCACAGGAATGGAGCGACGGAAGCTTGACATTCTTGACGAAACCTGGCCGACAAGGCAAGGCACCTTCTGACTTGCGCCCCATTGCGCTGTTGGAGCCTACTGGCAAGGTTGTCCTTGGACTTGCTGCCTCACAACTGCTGCAGGAGACCTGGTGGATGCTGAGAATGATCCCACAATTTGCATACGTTCCTGACAGAGGAGTTGCTGACGCCATCAGCAGATTGATGCACCATACCTCACAGGTCAGAACATTGCTTCAACAGTTTCAATATCCATATCATCGTGCTGCGTCAGGACATTCTGCCCCTGACTTGATGGGTGGCCTAACCATCAGCCTTGATTTGTCCAAGGCCTTTGATCAAGTGCGTAGGGACCTTCTTTTCAAGGGTCTTGAAGATCTGCAGGTTTCCCCTGATTTACAACATTTGTTGCAATCCATTTACCATCACACGCACTTTGAGTTCACTTACAAAGGGGAGTATCGACAATTTGAGACGCTAAAAGGGATCAGACAAGGTTGCAAATGTGCTCCCATATTATGGACATTGTACTTTGTTCAGATCTTCGTTGCTCTTCATGAATATAGTCCATGGCAGTGGCTTCAACGTTGCCTCACTGCCTTTGCAGATGACATTTGCCAACATGATATTTTTCACAGTCAAGATGATTTCATTGTTTTGCTGAGACGTGCTGGGCATCTCATGGACTGTTTGGAACATGCCGGACTCCCCATCAATGTGGACAAAACAGTGGCGTTGTGCAGAATGAATGGACGCAAGTTGCAACAAACACACAAACGTTTCTTTCTCAAGAACAGCAGAGGAACCTTTTTGAAAATCCCCAGAGGTGATGGATCCACTACTTTGATTCAACTTGTGAACAACCACACGTATTTGGGAGTGAAACTGTCGTATTTCAACCCTGAGAAACTGACCATGACACACAGACTTCAAGCTGGCACCAGAACACAACAACTGTTGCACAAGTGGCTCCATTTGAAACGTGGCCTCAATCCCAGACAAAGAGTCAAAATTTGGCAGCAGTGTGTCTACACCAGCAGTGTTCATGGACTCATACATACAGGATTTGAGGTGGCACATGCATTGCAATTTCATCGCACATGCCTCAGACAACTGCGAAGAATTTACAGAGAACCAGTGCATTTGAACTTACTTTCGAACACGCACTTCCTGGCCAAGCATGGCATTTTGCCACCTTTGATCCGACTGTGGGATCTTTGCCAAGCTACAGAAAGGCGAGAATGGATCAGATCTCAACATCTTCATGTAGATGATATTTTGTGTCAACAACCAGCCATCAACTATGATGCAAGACGACAGGTCCTGCAGACGGCATTGCAACAAATTCATTGCGCTGACAAAGTGGATCGACCCTCAGACTTGGCATCCACCTTACAATGTCCACATTGTGATGTGCGTTTTGACACACCAGGTGAACTACGCAGACACTCCACCGTGACGCATGGCATCAGAACAGGCCAGCAAAGACAAGTTGAATCTAGTGATTTTGCACATGGACTTCCCACCTGCAGCCATTGCAATTTGAAATTCACCTCAATTGCCAACTTTCGTTATCACATCAAATTTGTTTGTACCCAGACCATTGAGGCTGCACATGCTGCCGAGCTGGAGCACCGGTTGCTCATTGTGGAGTTCCTACAATACTCCAATGGTGCAAACTTTCAGGCATTGCAAGATCGACCAGATCTTCTTTTGTACATGAAATCTCATTGCATTCTTTGTGGTCGATTTGCTTTGACACCAAGGGGGATGTTACTTCACTGGGCGGCTGAACACCCTGATGAATATCACAGACATGGACATTTTCTTCAGAGCACACAGAGTGGCCAAACACCAACATCGCCATGTTCTCTGTGTGGATGTTCCTTCACACGCAGCCACAGATGTATCATTCACTGCCAGATTGCCATGCATGCTGCCCACACTACACCTGTCACCCACACTGATTCTCAGGCATCCACAGCCATGCATACCTGTCCATTCTGCCCAAAGGCCTACGTGACCAAGCATGGCCTACGACAGCACATCCAAAGGTATCATCGCAGTCTGGAAGCCAATGACTCAGCTGAGGATGATGACACAGATATTGCACAGGCACATGCAGCACTCGTTGAGGCAGTGGAAACCGATGATTGTTCCACCCTCCTGCTCAACCCGTTGATCCTGGAGTACTTGGGAACATGGTGCCCTATTTGTTGCAAAGCTTTTGGACAAAAGAATGCACTGACAAGGCGTTTGCGACATCATCATGCTACCTTGTGGAACGACACTGAACGGTTTGCCATTGAGCTTGCACACATCCATTGCCCTGTTGGAGAATGTTTTTGCCTACCTGAACAACGCTCCAAACATCTGTGCACCATTTTCATCCAATATAGCATGCTGCTCCATCAGACCTTGAGGTACGCTGGCGTCAGAGCACCGGCTTCTGGATTGGCTGGTGAAGACCTTCCTGCTGACTTCACAGCCACAACGGCACAGCAAATCAGCAGTTTAGTGTTTCATGGACAGGTCGAGCAGATCTATGGCAAACGAGATCTCAGGCTGGCAATCACCTTACATTGCCTCTTCTGTGAATTCACCTGCCGGGATGGAGAGACATTAGCGACGCATTGTCAGCTGGAACATGGGGACCTCTGGGATCGCAGCAATGAGGCCTATGACTATCTGATGTGGCTCTACTACAGTGTCAATGGCTGCTGCTGTAACCCCATGACAAACTCTGAAGATCACCATATGTGCATCTCTTTGAAACAGATCTCCATGATTTGGGCTGATATGGGCATGCCGATCTTTTTGCCTTTTGCGTATTCTGCCAAAGATACGGTGGATCTTTTGGACTCCTTGGTTGAACACAACGACCTTACTGTCCTGACAATGCATTTGATGCAACGAAGGATTGGGAGCCTCATGGGCAATCGTGGACTTCATCAATTACTCCAGGGCCGCTGTATCATTTGTCACGAGATCTTGCTTCTATGTGACATCAAACAACATTTGCAGTCTCAACATGGCTTTGATCTGCGCAGGTTTCAGATGCATCAGAAGCAACTGGCCTCCATATACATGGAGCTGCAAAGCGAGGACCCTGCCTGCGACTTCTGCGGGGAGTACATGTCTGGCCACACGACATCTGGTGACATGCAAACCTCAGTGTATGCCCATCTGTGTGAGTGCAATTTGCTCCTTCATCTGGCTGTCTTCTTGGGACACCCCACGTGGGAAGTGACTTACACACCCACAGTCGTTGGTCCCAGTGCGGAGGTGAGATTGGCAGCCCATCGACAACGGGAGCGACGCAGCTGGCAGCTCCAAGCTCCACTCTCAGATCCTGCAGAAGCTGCACTTGTATTCCAACTTCAATGTGCCAAACCTTTCTTGGATGATGAGTGGATGAGATCACACATGAATCATACATGCCTTTGCTGCAATCGTATGTTCTTCAGCGTCAACAAGTTTTTGACCCATCTCATGACCTCGCATAATTATCATCAGTATATGACCGAGAAATTCCATCAAATTCTGGTGAATATGCAAACATCAGCAACTTGCAAGTATTGTGGGGCCACCTCACATGCCAACAATTTTGGCAAACGGTGCGTTGCGCTTTTCAACCTCTCTGTGGCGTTGTGCAATGGACAAAATCATGGTCGATATGGGCAACCCAGACTTGGATCAAGCAGCCGCCATTTGGCAAAATATGCTGAGTCCAGATCAGCTAAAGCTGTTTGCCACCCTCTCCAACGGAAACCAGCCATCGCAGCCCAATGGCAGGACGGCCAAACGCCACAAACCGGAGAAGACCAAGCAGATGCCCGTGAGCCCTCAGGGTCAAGCATCCGAGATGATGCAACTGATGGCCAAAATGATACTCCGTCAGGAGGATGCGTTGAACGCCATGCTGACGGAACATCAGTTCCTTCTCCACATCAATGTGGGCAAGGGCAGCATAGTTCCGGACATGCTCCAACTCACTCAAACTTGGAAGGCGGGAAAATGCACCTCAACAGCTCCACTACGACATCAACTGGCGGTCTGCATGATGACCCTGCTGAAGGATCGATTGACCAGTCTGAACGGTTCCCTGACCAAGGACGATGTCGTGAAGGAATGCTGGCAACACAACATTCTGAATCAGAAGTTGGAAATGCCGTTCCTACGATGGAATCCTCAGAAGCAAGTCCTGGAGCCAAGCAACGATCGATGCCTTGCAGTGCCGGAGACTCTGAAGCAGGTGGAAAACATTCTGCAGTTGATGCAGGACGAGACGGTAACCGTGAGGTTTCACAGTCTTCGAAGGATGAGCGAGACTCCAACCAATGCAACACCGTGGATTTGGACAGTATCCTCCAGAACAAATCCGGAACTTTGGCACCAGATCAAAAATTTGACTTTTCATGCCTGCTGGCTACTGATTCAATGCCGCATCAAGAGCCACGGCATGCAGAGATCACCACTGGCCCAACAGTTGAGCCGCCATCTGTGAGGAGACTTGTGCGCCTTTGTTTGAATGGATCCCAAACACTTTGCTATGCCAACGCAACCCTCCAGGGCCTTGCATGGGTGAGCATTCTGAGCCTCAACATGGTTGCACGGGCTTGGCACATGGGATTAGACCTTCTTGAGGTCATGACGCAATGGACACCGATGCCAGTGTCTTTGTATGACCTGCCACAGTTTCGGTGTCTTTTTCCAGGGGGCGATTGGGGATTGGACAAACTAGATCAGCAATGTGATCTGGTTGAGTTTACCTCTCACATTTTGTTGCTCATGGAGCCAACTTTTGTGAACAACCTTTGGGTACCGCAGCCAACAATACTTGCTGACTTTGCGGGCACAATGCTGCAGGACGAAAAAGGACACAAACTTCAGCCAATCACGATGAATCTCATTGATCCTCTTTCAGACAGATGCATTTTCACAGACATTGTACTCCATTGGCATGACTCCCGAGGCTATTGCAGATCACTTCTTGAGGCCTCTGATGTCTGCTGCGTCGCGATCAATCGTGTATACTCCACTGTGCAAGGTAAATGTCAACAACAGATTGATTTTCAGACTGGATTGGTGCAGATGCCATTTTTTGATGAGACACGTACTGTTCAATGGAAATCTTTTCGAATCATTGCGATTGCCTTTCACATTGGAGAACGGGCCACCAGTGGTCATTGGAGAACTGCCCTCTTTCACAATCATCGCTGGTTTGCATACGATGACGGCATGCTTCCAGTTCAATATCCAGAGTTGCCCATTGACATTCAAAAACAGGCCAGTTTGCTCTGGCTCATCTCCGCTGACAGGACACCACTGGGCTCTTTGCCATCATCCCTGCCTTCAAGTTCTTGAGCTGGCACTATAGGGCAGAGTGGATGGAGCAAAGTGGTGCTGCCGCTGGGCAGAGTGGGCTTGCAGTGCTCGCAGGTGAGTGGCATTGAGGCACAGCAGGCTCTTAGCTGAGATCTCTTTCTTTGGGCCGCTGGTGCCATTTTTAGTTTTTCTGGTTTCACAGATTGCATGCTTCTCACCTTGCACTGTCTCACTGGATTTTTCATTTCACCCATTGTTAGCTTCTTTTGGCGTTTTGCATGTGTACTTTTGCATCGACACCGCTCTAGGAGCTTTTGGTGTCGATTAATTCGTTTTTCGTCGTCCTAAGGGACATGTGGCATAGTCTAAGCCCTTCCGTTGGACATCTAGGAAGGCCATGGTAAATCCATGCATGGCTCGCTCGCCGACACGTAAAGGGTCGTGGGGTTGCAAAAAACACACACACAAGCCCCGAGCGGCTGTCCAGCCGCACTCAAGTGACCAGGCATGAGCGCCTGAAGGAGCCATTTGGGCGGGGGGGTCGTCTTTTTCATTGCCATAGTCGGTGCTTCGTTGCTGGCACCTTACTGGGATTTTTCTGCTTTTTGCTCCATTTGGGATTGTCCCGCAATTTACTTGGCTGCTGACAATGACAGTTATTTGGCTGTGGTTTCTCCTTCTCATTCAGAGAAGTGGTGTGATTTGGCAACTTCCATCAGTCAGCCGACTACAGACTGATCGCAATAGCGTGGGGACTCCCTCCTGGGAACACAAGGCGTATGCAGTCATCAACAGACTTGACGTCCCACAACAGACAGACAGCTATTGCTCAACCTCATTGGCACAATTGGATGCCGGGCCAACCATGGATTTTTTTCACAAGAGGATGCTGCATTTTAATCTTCTCCATGCAGTTGGACCTGCAACCACGCTGCAACCATTCCCACAGCCCGGGACAGATGCAATTGTGCTGCTGCCGGACCTTCTGTTGCAGTGGGAGCACACCAAATCGCCACATGAACAGCTCTGGCTCTTTTCTGACCTTATTTGCAGGGTGGTTCCTGCTTCCGAGCAACTTTACATGGACCTACAGGATGCAATGGAGTTTCAACTTTCACCACAGCCTTTGCCTGAAAGCTACAATTCATCCTTTTTGCAATGGACTCAATGGACCTATGCTGACCTTTTCTGCAGGGTGGTTCCTGTTTTACAATATTTCACTGACCTATTCTGCGGGGTGGTTCCCGAAACAATCCTACAATTTGAGATGAGGCGTATGACAGGACAGATCACAACCTTCATGGTGCCAACGATGCAGCTTTTGGTTGACGCTACAGACCTGATAGGTCCTGATCTCTTCACCCAATGGGATTTTTTGTTCCAAGTTTTTTCTGACCAATTCTGCGGGGTGGTTCCCGATTCAACAATACAGCAATCAAATTTTTATTTTCAATGTGGACAAGGCCAACAGCTGCCAACCCGTGATCATTTTCAGTGCACGCTATTTGCAACATTTGCTTGGCCGCCCCTGAATCACTGCAATAAGACACACAATGCCTCAGACCTGCTCAGCAATGTGTCTTCTCGTGGTACAGTACAGCAATTCTTGCAGTTTTTTCTGACAACAAATTGCCGAGACTTCAATATTCAGATGACACCTTGGTGCAGTCCACAAGTTTTTTGCAGCAAGACACCATTTTATCATCATCGAACCTGTGGTGGTGCACTTGGAACACTTGAGACCTTCTTTGCAAAGTTGCTGGCCTTTTTTCCCTGGTATAATCTTTTGCAGCAAGATACTGCCGAAAGCGATCCCGGGACCTTCCTTGTGCAATCATGTTTGGACCTTGCCAGTAACTTCACACTGGAAGAGACTCAATGGTTTTCAATACCCATCCTACACCATCTAACACCAGTGCCTTGTTGGTTTTTTCGAAATGATCATTCGTCTCTGTGCAGAAACAAAGTATTGTACGATATGGTCAACTGTCCCAACAATCATTTACCACCTGGTGTCCAAGTCTTCAGCATGATGATGATGTTCTGTAATTTCTACATACCATACTGTTATGCCAAAACAAATGATGTGCCGCAACACCAAACCATTGTCTCCGAAGCCCAGACTTCTGCAGAGCATCAGTTCTCTGCTGTGTCACCCTCTATCATGTGGATATTGACGACCCTGCCGACTCACGATTGCGTTTTCAGTGTGTTCCGACGTCTGTGCCCTGACAGTCACTTGCCGTGCTACTTCTCCTTGAAGTGTAGCCGTGATCCCGGTCCCAATTCCGGGCGTGCAGGCCAACTAGCACTGAAGGGGATACTCCTAAGACTTTTGCCAATGGATGTTCCTTTCCCTAAGCCTTTCAGTAACCTGCACGGGGGTGAGGGTTATGGATTCCAGCCGTGGGAATCCATGGGAGCCAATTTTACTGACCACTCCCTACAGCACCTTTTAGAGGCGAAAATCTACGGCCAACCGCCGATTATGGGCTCCGGCCCGGTGAATCACCCCACAACTATGCAAAACATGACTGCAATTCAAAAAAGAAGTTTCAAAAGAGCATATGCCAGATCCTTGCGTGATGGAGTAGCTTGGTACAAAGGACACTGCATGCAGCCGATCGATTTCCCTGCCACCATGCCGAAACCGCGCCAGCCATGCCCCAGCCGCCGAGCTGGTGTACCGCCTTCCCCATGTGCCCCTATCTCCCGTACCCATAGACTCAACATAGTCCAGTTTAATGTTGGTGGCCTCTCCTCCTATAAGCTTGAAGAAATAAAAGAATGGGGCCTTCACATTAAAGCTGACTTGATTGTGCTGTTGGAATCCCGTTGGAGTTTTACCTCGCAGTGGTCAGATTCAAACTGGCACGCGCTGCACTCGGGGACAAGTGAAGATGCTGCTGATGGAGTTTTGGTGCTCTTCAATGCCCGCAGCATCCAGGCCTCCCAGATCGGTAGCATTGATTTGATACCGGGACGGCTTGTTCATGTCAGGGTGCATTATCGTCAACGGGCCTGCGATCTCATTTGCTGTTACAATTACATGGATGATAGGTCCACCAAAAGGCAAACCCTACGTCAGACTTTTTGGACAGCATTAGATAAATGCATCAGTTCCATTCCCAACAGGAACTCAATGCTGATTGCTGGAGACATGAATTGTTCCCTTGAAGCCGATGCACCGCATGTTGGCACCACTTTCTTCACTTGGCAGGGCAAACACCACCAGGGACCAAAACATAGGGATATGCATATGTTTCAGAAACTGTTGCGCAAACATCAGCTTACAGTTTTGAATGGATGGAATGCAAAGGACGGCCCAACCTTCTGCCACAATTTGACTGCATCACGAATTGATTTCTTTGTCATGCGTACGTCAGAAGCTGATGGTTTGGCTAGGGATGTCAAACAACTCACCAGTGCAGATATCATCCCTTTTTCTGGAGCGACCCATATCCCTTTGATGTGCAGTGTCAAAAAGTTTCACTTTTCTTACCGATCATCCCCAGGATTTTCAGGTTTCACATACTTCCAGCGGCAAAGGTGCAGACTGGACTGGCGCACTGGTGCTCCTCAATGGGACCACATGTTGCAGGCTACTGGACACCTGCTCCAGGACTTGTGCAGCCAGCCTACTCCACCAACAGACCCGGTTCAGGTTTTTCATGAGACCCTTGGGCCGTGCTTTCATGAGTTTTATCCACAGAAGCATCGAGCTCCAAAGTCTGCACAAGATCACCATGCTGCCTTGATCCAAGAAAAATGGTTTTACCACAGACAAGTCATGCAAACCCGTGCGTTGACTCTTCAGGCTCTGTTTCATGTTTGGAAGTGTCGCAGCAGATATGCAGCTCTGAACCGGACGCACAAACAACATACGAAACTCCTGAAGCAGCAACGTTTTTATGACCTTCTGAGTTCTGTGCAACAGGCAGCACAACATCATGACAGCTTTGCAGTGCATCAAATAATTTCCCAGTATACTCCGAAACAGCCCAAACGTCGGATTCAGCTGAGAAATGCAGTTGGTGCCCCTGCCACACCTCATGAAGGGCTTTTGATCACCAAAGAATTTGTGGAGTCCACTTGGGCAGGACCATCACATGTTGACCTAGGTGATCGAGCTCCACCAGGAGTACCCTTTACGATCCAGGACCTTGAACATGAGTTGCATCGCCTGCCACACAACCGCTCAGTGGCGAAGCCATTCTTGCCGGCCATTGTGGTCAAGATGCATGCCTCAACCATTGCATCATGGTTGCACCACCTGTTGACCCATTGGTGGTCCACTGAGACTCCCTTTATCCCGGCCCAGTGGAAACGTGCTTGGGTGACGTTCATACCCAAACCCAACAAGAGTCCAAGCCAGGTCAGCAACTTGAGATGTATAGCGTTACAGGAGCCTTTGGGCAAGTGCGTGCTAGGAGCTCTCACAAAAAAATTGCAGTTGGCGGTTGGTCCCACCCTTCAGCAATGGCCCCAATATGCATTCCTTCCCTTGCGTTCCACAGGTGATGCCATACGTAGGGTTGCTGCCCATTGCAATGAAGTCCGCAGCTTGGTGAAGAATCAACGCAGATCAGCGCATCAGCGTGCAGCCAATGTTGAGTTCTTTTCTTGTTGCGGGGGAATCCAGATTTTTTTGGATATACAACGTGCCTTCGATCAACTTCCCAGACAAGCCCTTTTCGAGCACCTGGACACACTGCACGACCAATCTGAGCTAACAACACTGATGGCTCACTGGCATTCCCAAACGGATTACTGCATTGAACATTCAGGTGAGACTGCCCTTGTTTCTACAGGATGTGGCGTGCGTCAAGGTTGTCGTGCCGCTCCACTGTTATGGAACAGCTTTTTGGATCAGATGTTTCGCACTCTTGCCCAACAAATCTCTCCTGAGTGGGTCAAACAGACGCTGACAGCATTTGCAGACGACATCCATCAAGGCACAGTTTTTCGATCCAGCCAACAACTGCAGCTTGAAATGACAAGGATTGGACTGCTTCTTGACACGTTGGAAAATATGGGCCTGACCCTATCCCTTGAAAAGTCCTGCATCCTGCTGGAGATTGCCGGCTCCCACTGCCGTAAGATTCGAAATAGGCTTTTGAAATATGAGGGTTCACATGCCTTTATTGACATCCCCCGTGCCAATGGACGCACCAGCCGCATCCCGGTGAAAAGGACTGCTGACTACCTGGGGACCTGTCTCAGTTATGGCAACTATGAACAGCAGACATTTGACAAAAGGGTTCACTGTGCACGCCTCACCTTTCACAGATTGCGTCGATGGCTTTGCACTTCCCAAATTGCTTTGCGTCACCGCCTGTTGCTTTGGAAAGCCTGTGTCCTGTCCACACTCATGTATGGCATTGTTGCAACTGATTTGACTTTCCCTATAATCAAACAATTCCAACAAATCATACTTGGCATGTATCGCAAGCTCACCAGAAATCACAGCTACCGCACGCATGAGACTCACAACACGGTACTGCACAGATACCATTTGGACCACCCGATCCAGCTGCTGCAGCGCCATGTCCAGCAGCTCCAGACCCTCCACAGTCAGCGTGCCCAGCTGATTGGTGATACTGATATCCTAAGGATGTCCAAATGGCACACACTGCCGCAAACCTTGCAAATGCTTTCTGTTGCTCTTGAGGTGCAGACCAATGTATCCCCTGCTGACGACAGCCTGCTTGAGGTGCCCATCACGCTTGCATACGCATGTCCATCATGTTCATTTGTTGCCAGTAGCCTGCCCAACTTGCGTCGACATCAGACCACGGTGCATGGACAACCGCACTTCAGAACATGCCTGGGTCACACAATGTCCTGTTCAGTAGGAGGGTTACCACAATGTGCTTTTTGCTTCCAATCCTTTACCACATGGCGACAGTTTCAAAACCACTTAGATCGACAATGCTGCCAGGTCAGATCTTGTGACAAGAACATGAACCTTGATGCCTTGCTGCGTGAAGAGGAGGAACAGCGCATTTTGCGCATGCACCAGAGCCTCACCGCCGCACTGCACACAAAGCCTTATGGGGATGCCCTGCTCCAGCTGGTGACCAATCATGACTGGAATGGTCTAGCTGACTTGCGGCCAGCTTGTGAGGCGCTCTCAACGCAGTGCTGTGTATGTGATTTTCACTTCAGCCGACCGCAGGACCTCAATAGCCACTTGCGTGTGCACCATCATAAATGGATTAGCCATACGTTCACCAAGGCATCTCAGATATGCAGAGGGTTTGCAAGCAACTCCCCTTGCCGTTACTGCACAAAGAACTTCCGACATGCTCATGCTTGCCCTGTACTTACACAGGCTGCCATGTTGTACCTGTATTTGCCTTCTGAAACAGGTCCACCGGAAGTGCCACCAGCCGCTGCCCTGCGTTGCGAGGTTTGTGGACTCAGAGCTGAACACATTGATGATTTGCACAAACATTTGGCTTCAGTACACAGGTTAGCTTTTAATGATTGGCAGCCTGAACGGGACCTCATGGGCAAGGATCCAGCTTGCTCTCACTGTTCCAAGTGTTTCACCAATGTTTCAGCAGTCAGGCAGCATGTGACGCTGGGGCAATGCAGTGAGTTCGACCCTCATCGCTCACCTTTTCTCCTGCCCATAGCCGAGATTTGGACCACAGCCTTGGTGACAGGGGACTTGCAACCAGTTTTGTCTGATCCGATGCTCAGGATGCGCATGACGCTGCACTGTGCCCAATGTGGGGCTGCCTACATGCGATCTGGAGATCTGATTCTCCATCTGCAGACTGCTCACTCAGCCATGTGGGGCCAGGCGCAAGCCCTCACCAGATATCTGATGAAGACATTGATGCCACAACACTCTTGTGTGTGCAATCCCAGTGTTCATAAGGTCACTTTGACCCATGTTTGCCCTTTCTACCGTCAGATGGCTATGCTTGCGGGACGCTCTGCGGTACCCCTGTTCCTGCCGTGGCAATCAGATAGGGAGAGCCTTGCCCTGAGCTTGCACCACAGTCAAACGCATGCAGTTATGGATCGCCTGGTTGAATGCATTCATACAAGACAGCTACGACAGCTCTTGCAAGACAATGCACTTCAGGCCTTTCTCCGGGAACATTGTGTGATATGTGGTGGTATTTTTCACCCTGCCCTGCTGCGCGACCACATCCTGCAAGTCCACTCCTCAAATTTGGACAGAGTCGTTGATCTACTGCCTTTTTTATTTGATGAGTTTCAGAGGGCTTCTCATACGGACTATCAATGCGCACAATGTCATCAGATATTCAACCTGCCAATGCTTGGAGCTTCCAATTTAGCTGAGCAACAATCACGGCAGACACTGGTTCTAGCCCACTTTCAACAGTGCCCCGTCGTTCACCAAGTGAGCCTGCTGCTGACCCATGGACTCTGCCGAGACTCCGTCCATGCCAGGCAGGGAGACGCAGGAGCTTCTGGAAACATTTGCGGCAATGGCCCCACTGCTGTCGAAGGCCACACAGAAGGCAAAAGGAGACGAACGGGATTCCAAGAAGGCCAAAATTCAGCACAAGCCGACAGAAGAGGCTCAACGTCTGGACCTCCAACCAGTGGTCTTGCAGATGGCCAAATTGCTCATCCGGATGGACGCCGATCAGAATCTTCTGAGAAAACAAGACTCCTTCGTCTTTTACATGCAAATGGAGGAGGAATCGGTGATCCACATACTGAGCAAGCAGGCCAAGCAGTGGCACCAAGAGATGACCCAGCAGGAAGGCCAGATGAAAACACAGGAGTGGAAGCCATTGAGAGCGACGCTGATGCAGACGATGGCCGAGACCCTCCAGATGCGCCTCCACAAACCGTACTCCTGCAAGCAGTCGGATCCACTGTTTCAGACAGCAATGCACCACAATCTGGTGAACGACAAGGGAGAGTTCTTCTTCCAGAAATGGGATGCCTCCAGCCAGAAATTGGTGCAAACCAGCCAAGCACCAGTGGGCATGGACAGGATGAAACGCTACGTGGATCAGCTGGTGGAGACCCTTCAGGACCCGGCCAATGTGGTGAAATTCCACGCCTTGAAGGCGTCAGGGGATCAGAGGGTCACTCCTTGGATTCTCCAAGTGGCTCTTCGTTGCGACGAACTTCAGACTCTTTTGGAACAGCTGATGGGATGCAAGGTATGGAACCTCTTGGGGGCCACCCTCAAGGCCCATTCTCTTCCGCAGAGCAGCCAGGCGGAACACCTGAAGTCCCTGATCGGCAAAGGGAAGAGCGCTGGGAAGGGCAAAGCTCATCGCCGATGATGCCGATGTCAGATGAACACAGACATGCACTGCTGCTTGCAATTGGCACCCTGGCACTTCTCAATGCCGGGAACCACTGCTACATCAATGCAGCCGTGATGGCCACCCTTTGGGCTGTGGTGAGCCGGACCAATTTTCGACTTGCTGACCTGGGGCCACATGCCACCCTGATTGCAGATAGTTTGTTGACGCGCCATGGACACCCCATGCAATTGGTCACCCAACCATGGTTTGCAGATGTCATCCAAAACTGGCATAATCATAACAATCAGGGTGATCCAGTGGAGTTCATGACACATGTGCTGGGGAGACTGCAACTTGGTGGCTTCAACATGAAGTGGGAACGCCGGGTGCAGATACACGATGTTGTCCGTCTCATGGACCAAAGTGACGCTGTGCGACCGCTGACAGTTCAGTTTGATGCAGTTGATTCTAATGCAATTCAACATGGTTACACTGCACTTCAGACAATGCTGGATTCATGGGCGGGACAGTATGGCATGCAGACTGCATTGGTTGCTCCCTCCCCACTTGTGTGCATTCATGTTGATCGTTTCATACACCAAGGCACCACGGCTGTGACGAAATGTGAGAGGCCTATTCATTTTCGAGGAAGCCTCAATATCCCAGTCTTTGACAATGAGGGTTTGCAGGTCCATCAGAAAGGGTATCAAATGATCTCAGCAGTTGCGCACCTAGGCACAGATGGATCAGGACACTGCCGCGGCATCCTGAAGACGTGGCCTTTGCTTGCCCCTGAACCTGTCAATTTCCTTCTTACAGATGATGGCAGGTCTCCTGAATGCATATGGACAGAACCCTCCTGGTTCACCCGCAATGTGTCCTGCTTCTGGTATTGCGACTGCGACTGCCTTGATTTGATCAAATGGCCCATGCCAGACCCAGCTCATGCAAATGATTCCGATACCTCGTCCATGACAGAGGCTGCTCAGGATGATGTGCCCTTGCAGAAGCTTTTCAAAGCCATGTCCAAAACCTGATTGCCAAGCCGCCCATATGTGACACCTGATGGCATTTTGCCCGTTTTTATATTTGTTGCTGCTGCTCTGCCACGTTTCACTCCCTTAAGCCCTCACGACCGGTGAGTGACCCCCAGCATAAGCATTAAAAAACAAAAATGGGGGAGGCTGGTCCAAGAGGCAAATGCCCAACGTATCACGAAGGCCAGGGTAAAAAAAAAAAGTGCTGGTCCAAGAGGCAATGACCCAACGTTTCAAGAAGGCCAGGGTTAAAAAAAAAAAGAAAAAAAAGCATGACTTTCCGAGCATGAATTCAATTGCACGTCTTTGTAGCTGTGGCAGAGCAGCGTCTCACTGCAGTCATCCTGTCATTTCGATGACTTTTTCCTTGGAAGTTTTTGTCCATAGTGGACCGCTTCCATTTGGCGTTTTTCACCAAGACCTCCATGCTGGAGGCCAACATGCTTCTATCATGTTGAGGCGCGCACGGAGCTTTTCCCAGAAAAGGAGTGTTGGAAAAAAAAACACACACACAAGCTCCTTTGTGGTCTCGAGTACCACACTCAAGGGTCATTCTGACACCTGCTGGTCAGCCGCAGCCATTGCCCATCGCCCGTCCATTGTTACGTTGTTCGCTGGCACGGAGCGGTGTTCCTGAACCTGACGCTGGCTGATTTCTGCGCCTCGCTGCTCTCTTTTGCGCGCTGCTGCGGCTGGGCGGCTGAGCACTTGCTTGGAGAACTTGACCTTTCAGATTGACTTTGACCTCGTTTTTCTGGCCTTTTCAGTGGGGGTGGCTCCCCGATTTTTCCCTGGTAATCACAAGAGTGGATGAGGTGGGCCTACTGGATCTTTTTCCCTGTTTTGTGGCTTGGTCTGTGTAGCCTCTACATTAACACGGCACAGCATTCGACTTCCTGGCTCACATCGTTCCTGCTGGACAAAGCGCCCTTGAACTTTGTGTGGATCACATTTGCTTGCCTGGTGTATTTTACCTTTTCCTATCAACAACAATTTACTGGGGGACATCTTTGCACGGGCCAGATTGGACGCGTGACTCGAACCACAACTCGGTCCCAAGTCCGAGCAGCACACTACAAACGATTTTTCTGGCTGGTGTGGCTGACTTGCTGTACCATTGAGATTCATCTTGCCAGTGTGCTGTGGAGTGAGGGTTGCACTGGGGACATGACCAGTGTGAGAGCAGCGGAGCCCGTTTTTGGTGCTCATGCTGCAAAAACACATGTCGAGGAGCTCCAATTTGCTTCCGAGCTTTCTCAAACCAAACAGAAACAATGCATCAAGAAACGCAGTTTTCGCAGAGCACTGAAGCGTGCTGAAACCCATGGTTTTACATTGTATCGAGGTCGATTGTATACTGCTCAACAACTGGGGACTGAATACAAAGGTTTTTCTCATGATGCTCCCAAAACACAAAATGTGACCCAAAACAACAGATTGCGTAGACAGCGATTTACTTGCTTCAGCTGGAACTGTAGTGGACTTTCACCATCGGGTTGGGACTATCTGCAACAGTGGATTGACAGTCAACGACTGGACATTCTGATGCTCCAGGAAACACATTGGCGATACACGAGTGATTGGAGTCTGGATCACTACTTTGCGCTCCACAGTGGGGCAGCAGATGGACGTGGAGGCCTTCTTTGCCTTATTTCCAAAGCACTCTGCGATGCAGCGCATCTTTCATGGCAGGAAATTGTACCAGGCCGTCTGATGCATTTCCGGATCCATGGTAGAACACGTGATCTTGATTTCATCAACATCTATCAACATATTCATGCAAAAGATCGTATGGAAGATAGACACTCGTTATGGCATGCACTTCAATCGCTGTTGACAAGTTTCCCACAACGAAATCATCTCACCATCCTGGGAGACTGGAATACTTCACTTCAGCACACCTCAACGGCGGTGGGGCTTGGAACATATCGCTGGCAGCAGGACCGTTGTGGGGGTCCCAAACACAGTGATGCCAACTTGCTGCACAACATTTTACAACAGTTTGATTTGATTGCGACAAACACTTGGGATCATTCATTGGGTCCAACATACATTTTTGGCAAACAGACATCTAGAATTGATTTTGCAGTGTGTAGACGTTGTCACTCTGATGAAACCTCACGGCAAGTTCAGTATCTCATTGATTTCCCACTCAACTGCATTTCTGGAGCACATCACATCCCACAGATTTACTCCATGCTGAAGGTCTGGCACTCGACATACTCAGAAGCTGCTTTGGGATGGACCAGAACACAGAGGCTAGAACTATATCATCAATGGACACAGAACCCTGAGGCGTCAGAGAAACTACAGCATGACATCAAAACTACAATCAATTCTCTTCCATTGGATGGCAACAGGTTTGAGAATGTGCACACAGCTCTGAATGAATTTCCTGCTCCGAAGTTGCATCGGAAACGCGAAGCTGTACATCTCTACGACACAACACCTTTTCAGCTTTTCCAGGAACATAGTCGACGGCTACGAGCACTCTTGCATCCTACCTTGGACAATCTCTTCCAGGCTTGGTTTCACGTACATCGCAGATGCAAAGCACGGCAACAAATGAGAGTGACATCAGCCAAAGCTAGGAAATTGAGACTCCAGAAGATTTTCAACATTGCAGGGCGTGCGGCAGCAGCCAAAGACCACTTCAGACTGTATCAGGCGATTCGTGAGTTGGCACCCAAGCAACCTTTCAGACGGATTCAGATACGTGATCATGTTGGTAACCTTCTCAATCCATCTGATGCTGCGGACAGGATCCGAGATTGGCTTGCCATGCTCTACCATGACCCTGAGGCTGATTCAGTTTGTCGTGCTTTTGATTGGCCATTCACTGCCCATGAACTCCAACAGGGTCTCTGCAGTCTCCCTGCATTGAAGGCACTTTCACCTGGCTATGCACCAGCGCCATTTTGGCATTGTGCTGCGGAGGAGATATCAGACTATCTTCAGGACTACTTCAGGGTTTGTAGCGCACAGAGTTGTTTGCCCAGGCAATGGAACACTGGATCCTTATGTCTACTTCCTAAGCATGCACGACGGACACATGTCCCGCAGGACCTGAGACCTATCACCCTGTTGGAACCATGCAGCAAGGCATTGCTAGGCACACTGGCACATCACCTGTTTGAGATCATTGGGGAAGTTCTTTGTTCTGTACCACAGTACGCATACCTTCCAGGCCGTGGCACGGAAGATGCTCTGGCCAGAGTTCTTCGACACTGCGATGTGGTAAGGGCCTCATGCAAGGCACAACAGTACCCAATTCATCATTCAGCACAGGGTTTACAATCTGTTCAGCTGGGAGGTGGCCTCATCGTCACCATGGACCTTTCGAAGGCCTTTGACATGGTGCCCCGCAGCAGACTTTTCAGGTGTCTTTCATCGCTTGGTGTTCCAAACTTTTTGCTTGATTTTCTTCATGCCATTTATTTTGAAACCAGCTACACCTTCCAGCACCGTGGCCAGACCAGATCCCTGGACACATCGAGGGGCATCAGACAAGGCTGTAAAGCGGCACCGACCTTATGGGCGGCATATGCAACAGGTTTACTTCTCAATATCTGTCAACACATCGATGAACAGTGGCTGTACGACTGCATCACAATGTATGCAGATGATGGTTGCCTGCATGAGGCAGTGACATCTCCTGAGCAGTTCCGGCGCCTTATCACCAGGATTGGCACCACACTGGACTTGATAGAGGACGCACAACTCGTCGTCAATTTTGAGAAAACCTATGCCTTGCTGCGTTTGGTTGGAACTGCTGTACCCAAAATTCAAAAACAGTACATCCTGAGAAATTCCAAGGGAACCTTCCTGAAAATCCCCAGACGTGATGGACAGACTACTCACATCAGACTTGTCAAGCACTTTCAATACCTGGGGGCCACAGTTTGCTACCACAATTACGAGCGTGCTACCACTCTGGCTCGGATCAAAGCCAGCGAAAAGACTGGCCAGCAACTGCACAGGTGGTTGCACACGACAAGGGGTCTCAACGGATACCAAAAATATCTTTTGTGGCAACAATGTGTCTTCACGACTCTTCGATATAGTCTCAATGTGGTTGGGTATACTACACAGTCTGTGAAAATGATTGACTCAGCTTGTTTATTACAGTTGCGCAGAATCTTTCGCTGCCCTGTTCACCTGACACATTTGACACATCAAGATTTTTTGACACAACACAACCTGACGGATCCGTTACTCCAACTGGTGGCATTTTGCCAAGACGCCCAGGTGAGGGATCACAATCGCAGATACAATTTGAAATCTTCGGATATTCTTCTTCGAGATCCCCCCACCAATTTTGATCTTCGAATGCAGGTGCTGACAACCACGTGGTACCTTCTCCGACATCGACATCTTGGTCCTGACACAGCAGTGCCTGACTCCCAGATGGTCTGTCCAGAATGCTGCCTCCCCTTTGCGTCACTGATGCTTTTGAGGAAGCACCTGACTGAAGTGCATGGCGATAGACCAGGAGCCATCAGAATGGCCACACCTGCTGATAGAGCCGGAGGGGTGCCAACATGTAGTCGCTGTCTTATGCAGTTCACAACATATCACAGTTTGACATACCATGTTCAGTTTGTCTGCATGGCCCCACAACAGGACATTGAAGAGGTAGAACATCGAGTGCGGGTACAGGAGCTTCTGCAGTATGCACGCGGTCAACAACTGCAGGCACTTGTGGCAGATGCGTCATTGCTTGCCTATTTTCATCACAGATGTGCGCTTTGCTCCTACTTCAGTGTCACAGTCAAAGGGCTTCTCACACATTGGCAGAGAGAGCACTTGAATGAATTTCAACGACATGAACCAGTCAATGACATGCTGCTTTCGATGTTTGAACACGATAGCCCTTGTCAACTTTGTGGAACTTCTTTCAAGCGCTATCACAAATGCCATATCATTCGACAGATGGCTTTATTGCTTACCCTGGATGGTCACACAGCAGCTCAAGCACAATCGTCTCTGGTCTGCCAACA